ATCTATGGAATATCAAGGATGATTCTTTTATTTTTTCTTTGACTTGAATGGGAAAATCATTGACTTGGTCATCTGTGATATATGTTATAAAGAATAATATAATCATCTATTTGTTTTTTTCTTTTTGAAGTTATTCTTTGGATAATACAATTGACAAAGATGGTCAATATTTAGTTATAAAATTAGTTGATGGTCAATTACATTTAATTGTACTTATTGCATCATTACATGAAGATGAAGATGAAATATATCAAATTCAAACAAAAACACGTTTTAATGATGGTCAATGGCATCATATATCTTTACATCGTGGTAGTGATTATCATTTAGAATTAATTATTGATTCACATCAATATTATTTATTAACATCAATACATTTTATTGATACAATTTATTTTGGTCGTCCATCATTTTTATCATCAGATATTTTACCATTTAATCATATAAATACATTAAAAACATGTTTAGCATCATTAACAATAAATAGTCGTTTAATAAATTTACATGAATATATAAAAACAAATTTACATATACGTAATGATTGTTTTCTTGAATCTCAATGTCCATTACGTCATTGTCAAAATACAGGTATTTGTATTAATCGTATTAAATGTGATTGTCAACATACAAGTTTTCAAGGAGATTTTTGTACAGAATTAAAAATTGGATATTTTTTTAATCAATATACATCTGGTTTAATATTTGATCAACCATTTCAAATTGATAATCCATTATTAAATTATAAAATATCATTTGGTATTGTAACAAAAATGATTTCAGGTGAAATTATATGTGTTAGTGATCAATTACAAATTGAATTATATCGTGGACATATTAGAATAAAATTAATTACAAATATGAATCATAATAATGAATATATAGATAATGATATTATGATTAATAATGGTTATTATCATTTAGTACAAATTCAATATAATTCAACTGGTTATTTATATTTAAATGTTGATAATAAATCAATTTTAAAACAATTAACATATCGATTATCATTTGATAAACCATTATTATTATTAATTGGACAAAATCCAGCATTTAGACATGGATTTCAGGTGAGAAAATGATGATATTTATTGGTTAGAATTTTTTGATTATGGAAATTTTTTATTTTTTAATATAAAAAAAAAAAAAGACAAATGAATAGTCGTAGAGAGAGAAGGTCGACCAATTGATTAATCGCTTTTGAATGGAGACTATGTACATTTCGATGAGCCAAAATATTCGCGAGTCTATAGCTTATGGTTGCAATGATATTGACTCTCAAATTTCCGCTTGAAATTCTATGCAGAGATAGGTCTTAATGAAAATAGTCCATTATGAAAGTTTCAGACCTTTTGATGTGTTCTTATCATGAAATAAAAATCTCAAATCTGTCAATGTATATGAACAATGTAAAAGACACACTTTTATCATAGCCGTATTTGAGAATAGAAACAATGAAAACATTTGAAACTCTTACTATAAACTATTCTCATTAAAGTCTGTGTCTATGCATAGTTTCAAACTGAAATTCGAAAGTCAGCTTTTCTAATATTCCTGAGAAAGATCTCGACATTAAGTTTAAAATATATCGTAAAAATGCAGCATGTCAGCAGAAATAAGCTAAGGACCTGAACTCTCTTCATGCTATCTATCTGGCTGGCTACATTTTTCGACACATCTCGGATCATCCATCCGATAGCATGCTGATGGCATTCTAACATTCACTTGCCCTTCCGGTTAGTCATTGTGTATGAAGAGCAGAAAGAACCCTACGTTAGACCGGCTTTCTATCACTAGAGGTATTCTTCCTATACGATCTTTACTTTAATCACAATTATACACACATAGACTTTTACACTATACGTTAGAGAGGTAGGTCAATTCGTCAAATACTAGTTGTTATTTACAAGAAACAATAAAAAAAATCGATTGTTTTTTTTCTTGCGGTCAACTTGATCCTAAAAGGTTATACATTTCAGTTGTAAACTATTAATAATATTCTATATTGTTCATTTTATTAGTCTAGAATCATAAATAATACGTCTACTAAATAAGTATATTATAAAACTTTTTGAGTGTCTCATTAAATAAAAAAGAAAAAAATTATTTTTCTTAATCAGACGAAATTTAAATATCATCATATATTCAAATACTATAATTTTTATTTTTTTTTTATTAGGGTCAACTTTATGGTCTTGAATCTGATATCTATTCAGTATTTGATATGATTTCCCCAACATTCCAACGTATATCATATTCACCAATACAAGATAAAATATTTTCTTCTTCTTCTTTATCATCACCATCATCATCAATTATTTATCCTTCATCACATATTCAAAATGATTTAATACCATCATTATGTTCACCTCAATCTTATGATGATATTTGTATAATTACATCTGATACAAGTCTAAGTTTATTATCATATCCTAATGTAACACTTCTAACATTTTCACCAACAAAAAATTTATTATCATCATCATCATCATCATCATCATCATCAATTTCTCCTTCAATTATATCTCGATATACAACAACATCATATATAACTTCAACAATATCATATCAAATTAATAATTTTTCAACATTAATATCATCGAATTATACATTCAATTCAACTTATTATGTTGAACATCCACCATTAATTGTTTCTGTTCGTACACATACTTTAAATAGATCTCGAAAAATTTTTTATCGACAAAAATTTTGGATAATTTTAATTCCTGTTTTATGTGGAACAATATTATGTTTAATATTTGCTATATGTGGTTTTATAAAATATCGTCGAAAAGATGTTGGTGTTTATGAAGTTGAAGAAGCTCAACGTTTTCGACCATTAATTGTTGAATTAAATTCATCACCCGGTGAACGTAATCAAGAAAATTTAAATTCAACAACAACATCTACAAATACATCATTAATAAGACATGTATCAAAAAAAGATAATATTAAATCACATAAAAATCGAAAACGAAAGAAATCTCCATTGACTACAACTGATGAACAGCGTGAATTTTATATTTGAATTTTTTCTTTTTCTATATAATTACTTCATACTATTTTTTTTTCTTGTTTATTTCGTTTGAACATATAACACACACACACACACACATACACACAAGCTAAACAAAACAAGAAAATCTGTAACTGTTGTATAAACAGTGATAAATTATTTGACTTATATATATATATTATCTAATGATGAGCAGTAAATTATACCAGACATATTCTTCTTATCAGTTATTGACATGTGTAAATGAGTACAAAATAATCTTTGACAAGAAAAAAAAATCGATAGTAATGAAGACAAATTATTTGCTAATTAGTTATTCTACTAAAATAACTTTATGTTATATTTGAAAGTTGTTAATGCAATCCTTGTGAGATTTGAAATATGAAACGCAATGTAATTATTGTTGATAATTACAGAAAAATTATTTTATTCGATCTATTTTCGGATATATTACTTTATCATCTTTGTACTTAATTCTTTACAAATGTAATAAAGAAATAGTATGTACATTAGAACGAAATATTATTGATATACAATCTGTGATTGTATATCGATAATGTTTGTCACAATCTATTAGAGAAATCTAAATTTTTATCCCTCTACTTCGATACTTCATTTAGATCATGTTTCATAAAAATCATTTGAATCAATATATATATAGATATTAAATAAAAGATCTAATTTTCTTTCGTTGTCTTTATCTGATTGACAGTAAAGCCCATGATAGAAATTAACTGCACGTCAGTTAGTTCCCCTTTGACATGTAAAATCTACATTATCTTTCTGAATATCGATTATCTATTGAAAAAAAAGTAATTATAATGATTTAATCTGTTTCATTATGTTGAAGGTTTCAGTACTGTGTCCAAAATAAAGAGACGATTTAGATGTGGAAATTGTTTTGTTTGTTATTTGTCTTATCAATTCATTTTTCATGTTGATATAGATTACATAAACTGCAAAATAAATATTGTTGTTCTATGAATAATATAGGAAACTAGGATTCATTTACAGAATATACACATACACAGTACTTGTTCTACATAATACAAGATGATGACAGTTAAGGCGGTGCATGTCTTGTTGAATTAGTCTAGTATTAGAAATGATATATAACCAGTGTTTTTCTTACACGTTTCATAGAAAACAATGTATCATTTATTAAAAAAAAAATTACCTATTACTTCATATTCGATTTCATTTAAGTAGAAATATATTGAATTTAACATGATCAAATGTATATTCTATTTAATTATTTCTTAATTAATTAATTAATAAAACTATTCGTATATTAATGACATCTATTACTATTCATTAATATCATTTAATAAATATTCATTATTTTACAATTGATTTCTAATGTAGAAAAAAGGTTTTTTTTTTCAATTGTATTGTATTTAAAATTTCTATCAATATAATAAATACATATTAGAATTATTGGTCATGTGAACTAACATTTCATTTGTGACTATCAATGTACTGATATTCTGTCTTTTTTACATTGATAGTATCGCTTAATATTCATTTATAACATTTTTAGCATTAGTAAACAGAATATGAGTCATATATACTTCCTGTGTATATTTGATATTAATAAATAAAAAGTAAAACCAATCGATTGTTGATGAACGACAAAGGTAATAAGATTTTCTTTTTTTTTTTTGTTAAATTATATATATATACAATCGTGTATTTATGATTGATTTTTCTTCCATAAGCATGTGACAAAAAAAGTGAATAAGAAACAACATATAAACAGACATTCTTATCGATCTTTTTTTCTTTCTCTCGTTTTTTTTTCTCTGTCTCTCTCTCTCTCTCATTTATATACGTACCTTTACTTTTTATTGTCAATAGAAGATCCTGCTGTTTTTAGTCACATTTGTTTTTTTAGATACATCATGTATTTAGTTAATCGTTAAATACAGTATACATCTTTATTATATATATATAGATTATTATTTAATATAAAAACAAACAAATTAGAATGGGTCAAACACTATCCGGTAAGATAAAATAAATTATATATTTTGAAATATTCTTGTTTGTTTGTTTTTTTTTTTTGTTGCATTATATATATAGAACCGGTTACTTCAAAAAATTCTCAAAAAGTTGAAAATCATTTATATTCCGTAGGCAGTAGTAGTATGCAAGGATGGCGTATAAGTAAGTAATTTTTTCTTAAATAATTTATTTTATCTAATAAATTAATTTATTTAGATATGGAAGACGCACACACTCATCTTTTATCCTTACCTGAAGATAAAAATTGCACATTTTTTGCTGTTTATGATGGACATGGAGGTTTGCAAAAAAAAAAAAAATTAAATTTATTATATTTTATTCTTTTGTTTTTTTTTTTTTATTTTTAGGAGCAAAAGTCGCACAATATTCATGTAAACATTTACATACTCGTATTGCTAATCAATCTGACTTTAGTTCGTATTTGTTTTTGAGTTTCTTAATAAATAATTTTATTTTTCTAGAACACGGAAATATTGAAGCTGCTATTCGAAAAGGTTATATTGAATTTGATAAAGAAATGTCTTTAGATGAAGATATGCGAGAAGATCTAGCAGGTACAACAGCTATATGTGTTTTAATTAAAGATCAAAAACTTTATTGTGTATGTTGAACACACAAAAAATAAAAAATAAATAAAGAAAATTTTCAAAAAATAAAAATCTAATGTTTAGGGTAATGTTGGTGATAGTCGAGCAATAGCATCGGCTAATGGCAATGTTGAGATACTTTCTGTTGATCATAAACCAAATAATGATGATGAAAGAAAACGAATAACAGCTGCTGGTGGTTGGGTAGAATTTAATCGTGTTAATGGTACATTTATGATTTATAAATAGAAAAAAAAAAGATTTTTATTTAGAATTTTTTACTATATATAGGTAATTTGGCATTATCTCGAGCATTAGGTGATTTTATATTTAAACGTAATACAGATAAACGACCTGAAGAACAAGTCGTTACTGGTAGGCAAAATAAAAAAATATTAAATTATTAATATTAATGAAACTTTTATATTTCTAGCTGCTCCGGATGTTGTTTGTAAAACAATAACTGAGGACTGGGAATTTATACTAATTGCTTGTGATGGTATATGGGATGTACTTAGTAATGAAGAAGTATTAAAATTTGTTCGAGTTAGAGTTGCTCAACAAATGCCACCTGAAACGGTAGAAAAATAAACAAAAAAAAAATAATAATAATAAATTCTAAAAAATTCTTATTTATTTATTTTTATTTTTATTTTATTTTATTTTATTTTTTTGAGATCTGTGAAGAACTAATGACGCGTTGCTTAGCACCGAACTGTCAAATGGGTGGTCTCGGTTGTGATAATATGACAGTTGTGTTATGCCTCTTACTTCATGGACAACCTTATTCAACGTTAGCAGCTAAATGTTCAAAGAATTTAGCTAATGGCGATGTATCATCATCAACGTCATCAGCAGCAGCTGAAACATCACCAGCGAAATGAAAACAGAAAGAAACAAAAACAATTTTTTTTTCTTTTTCATACAATCCAATAATTGAACAATTTTTTTTTTCTTTTCTTTTTCATATTTGATAATATCACTGTGTTCCATCACTTTAGAACAGTATTAATTACTGTTGTCGGTGACGAGATCAAAAAACAAAACAAAAAAAATGCGACACTTCGTTTTTTTTTCTTTTCTTTTCTGTTCTTTCTTTATCTATTTTTTTTTTTTTTCTTATGAAAATGAAAACTGCTGATGTGAGCACACATTAGTGGTATAAGTCTATTTATATGCAAACAAGTGCGCGTGTGTGTGTGTGTGTGTGTTTATTCTGTATGACTATTATATATATATAAATATATATACACATGAACATCAACTTTTAATGTGTATATGGAAAAAAAAAAGATGTTGTTTAATTAGACGCCTCCTTCCTTTTTATGGTTGATTAGAACTAAAATGGCGTTCATACTTCTTTGTTCTTTGTTTCAATGCGTGTGTGCGTGCATATTTCTTTAGTTGGCGAGTATATATCATTTTTTGAACTTTTCTTTTAAACTGATGCGTGTATGTGTTTACATTTGGTTTTATCTTTCTTTTGTTTCATGTCTTATAAATCAGTGAAAACACATCACAAATCAAATGAAATCAATCCTAATTTTTGATTTTATGACATAATAAGTGTTTAAAAGAGTTTTTGTTCACAATTTTGGATTAATAATTAACAAGAAAATTTTCTTGAATGAAAAATTAAAATTGAATTATTAAGAAAAAAAAAAAAAAATTTTTTTTTTTTTTGCTTTTGACAATTATGAGAAATACATATTATGACATCATATTTTAATAAAAGTTAGATAAAAATAGAAATAAGAAAATAGATTATTATTAAATGTGTTATAATAGAATAAAGAATAGCAAATGGTTTCTATTTACCAGATTTATGCCATTCAATCCATATAGAAAGACACAAGATTAAATTATAAAACTTTCGAATAGAATTCCATTAGGGTTTTACATCCGCTATAACTTGAAAATTAGCTATTGTTACATATTGATTATTTATTTTCTAACATGAACACAACATTAGTTACACATACGTTCGATAGATTTTTTTTTTTTTGTTATTATAATACATGACTTACATCATTATCAGAAAAAGGAAAAGAAAATATTTTTCTTTCTTTTTCATACAGTAATTAGTATCTTACAGAGTAAAAAGTCAATAGTATTTTGAATAGATTAATCAAGTACTAGCTTTATAGAAAGAAAAAACAAGTATGTCATTTAAGTTTAAACTAGACCTTGATAAAAACAAAAAAGAAAAAGAAAAATAATCAATCATTCATAAAATCGTTCATTTATTTTCTTTTTCTTTTTCAATAAATATATCACAAGAATAAAATTAATGTATCATTGAATATAAGACGATGAATTATCTATGTTAAAACTAATCTTATTCATTGTCACATAAGTTTAAAATGAAAAGAATTTCTTTCTAATCACAACAATTGAATCATATGCTTAATTTCGTTCGGTTGTGCGTTGGCTTTCCTTTTTCTTTTCTTTTTTTTTTATTATTTTTGATGATACTTGTAAGTATACAAAACAAAAACAAAAATAACCAACAAATTTCTTTTAAAATTTTTAATCTTCTTTCACTTGAGTTGTACCACGTATACGACCTGTTCGTCGTGCAGCAATAAGACCAACTTTTCGGCCTGGTGGTGCATAACGACTGACTGTTGATGGTTTGCCAATATGTTGATGGTTGCCACCACCGAAAGGATGATCGACAGGCTTAAAAAAGAAATTAAAACAAAAAAATCATCAGTTTCTAAACTAGAAAAAAACTTATTACTTACATTCATAGCAACACCACGAACTTTTGGCCATGATTTTCGTTTAGCTTTAAATTTATGATACGATCGGCCAGCTTTTAATATTGGTTTATCAATACGACCACCACCGGCTACGATACCTACATATAACAAAAAACCAAAATTTGTTTTTTGTTTTCAATTAAATATTTTACATATATGCCTTCAGTAAAAGCCTCTAGATATCGTTTCTTGATCATTCATTATGTCAGAAACCATTTATAGGAATATCGTTCATCATTTAGCATATATGTATATGTATAGTTTTAATATAATACTTACCAACCATAGCACGATTAGTTGATGATAAAGTTTTTTTAGCACCAGATGGTAATTTTACTTTTGTTTTACCACCTTCAGGATTATGTGAAACAATTGTAGCATAATTACCTAAAAAAGAAAAAAAAAACATTTGAATGAAGAACTCAGAAAGCTTTTTATCATCAAATAAATAATCAGCAGTCGAAACAACAGCTTAGAAAATTTTTTCATCACAGTTCAAACACTCACCAGATGCTTTAGCTAATTTACCACGATCACCAGTTGTTTGTTCAATTTGACAAATAATTGTACCTTCAGGCATTGTTCCTAATGGCATTACATTACCAATAGTTAATGCAGCTATAAAAAAAAAAAACGAAATCACGATTTTTTTTTCTATTTTAAGAAAAAATCCTTCCTTTTTTAATGTTACCTTTTTTACCACAATAAATAAATTGTCCAGTGTACATGCCTTCAGCAGCAACTAATAATTCTTTTCGTTTTTTATATCGATATGGATCACGAAAGTGTACAACTGCAAGTGGAGCACCACGACCTGGATCGTGTATAATATCCTAATAAAAATTATGAATTAGAAGAATGAGATTTTGTGGATTTCCTTTTTTTTTTTTTTGTTTACTTTAACAACACCACGTAAATAACCCTGTCGTTCAGCATAATCCAAAGAACGAAATTTAGCTGGGCCTTTACGATGAAAAGTTCGAGCACGAAAGATGGCTGAACCACCTTTACGCTGTGCGCGTATAACTCGACCCATTTTATCTAAAAGAAAAATCAAAAAGTTCACTATTAGAAAACGAATTTTGTTGGAAATGATAAAAGAAAATATATGGACTGCCTACCATCGATTGTGGCTAATCTTCTACCTCTATGATTTAAACAAAAAATCAAATATATAAATGAATATATATATTTTAGCATGAAAAAAATTTTTTTTTTCGTTTGCCAAAATTAATTTAGAAAGTTTTATTTTGTACTAAATAAAATTTGCAATAAGCGCTACAATCGAAAAATAAATTAAAATTACCAATCAGAAAATTGTTCATAAATTATTTTTTTCTGTTTTACATGCATATAGGATTGCTCATTATTTTGCATTGACAGATCTTGAATTTTAGTAAATGAGTGTGATTATAATCAAAAAATATGTACTCAACTTAAATTCAATGTCGTATCGGTTTGTTTTCTACTGAGAAAAATTCACAAGAAAGGAACGATCACGCTCTTTACGAAATCCTTCGCTGTCATTTTACATATTCTTTATTGCAATAGTCATAATTTTTAATACAATGTAACTATATATAGACATTTTCATATTAAATGATAGATTCGAATACTTTTCGATATTTATCTTTGGATTAGATACAACCTTAAACTTTCATAATGATGAGACATAATTTTTATTTTGTTTTTGAACAAAAAAAAAAGCATTTACTATGTTTATTTTAGTTCAAGTTTAGTTAAATTACTAAAAAACAACAATGCTTCAATCTCGTGGTGTTTCTGATTTACTTGCAGCTGAAAAAAAAGCTCAAGAACTTATTGAAGAAGCTCGAAAACGTAAGTTATTTTTTTCTTTAACGAACTTCATTTAATGATAAATAATAGGTAAAAATAAACGTATAAAAGATGCTCAAAGTGAAGCAAAAGCTGAAATTGAACAATTTAAAATAGAACGTGAACGACATTATAAAGGATTAGAACAACAGGTTAATAATATTTATTTGTTTTAATAGGAATTAATCTTTGTTTTTTTTTTCGTTTTATGAATAGCAACTGGGTAATCGTACGCAAATGACTGAACAATCGAATAAAGAAACTCAAACACAAATAGCTGCATTAAAAAATCAATATGAATCGAATAAACAAGAATTACTTCAACGTATCATTACACTTGTATGTGATATCAAACCTGAAGCACATATTAATGCTCGTATTGAATAAATAAATAAATAAAAAAAGAACAACAGCATTTATTTCTGTGTCTCTCTTTTCTTTCTCATTCCGTTGTATTAACCGTTGTCTTCATTTAATCTCTGATGGTGTCTTTTCATTTATTTATATAGAGAAATTGTATGTGTACTTCATATTTTATAATATATACATATATATATCTTTTATTGTAATCGAAATATATTGTCCAGTGCATAAATATACATTTATTCAGAAAAACTTCCATTTTTTGAAAGATTTATAACATATCCAGATTTTTCATGATTAGTGGATAAAAAAATTAAGAACCTATATTGAAAGTTTTGTTCTAATTATATGTTCAAAAATAGAGATAAGCAAAATATTGGTAAAATTTGAATATGACGCTTCTATTCGTATGTTATGAAAACATATGAAATGATTACTATGTAAAAATCGTGAGTATTGCCGATATAAACATATCAATGTCCTTGAGTTGCTAACCTTGAGAAAGAGCGAATATGAATATCGATTTGAAAATACTTACAGCTTCGCGATTAGTCTTTTCCAGTGTTATCTAAAATAATGCCATTAGCTTTTCTGCATTGTTCGTCAATAATGGAATGAATACGATTAAGTTACAAAAAACTTTTATAGCAATCATTTCAAGCTGTTTTCACAGAGTACATTTTAGTGTTGTTCGAAGATTTACTCAATAATAAGACAGGACTAATTTTTTTTTCCAAGTAATGAAAAATAAAGTGATTTTTGCATCATCTGTTATTATTGATGTAATTGGAATGTTGTAAAAGAAAAACGAATCATAACTAATAATTGACACAATCATTGACTGGTTACTATTAGATATTGAACTATCATACAGGTCAAAATCTTATTACTTCGACAATAAAAATCAGCTTTGTCGAATT